CTAAATTTGAAATTGTTGATAAAAAAGTTTAAATGTTTTCTTGCCTTTTTTTGGCGGGCTGTTTTCATCTTGTTCTTCTTCTTCTTATGTAAAAACAATTAGAAACGCCAAAAAATGTAGCTCTTTACCACAATTCATATGCAAATTTAACCTCTAAAGTATGATAGTATGATAAAATGTTATTACAAAAAGGTAACAAATGTATGCACATAACAAAATACTTATAATTTCTCTAAAGTTAACATATAGAACCTAACCTATTGCAGAAGTAACCAGTGTAAACTGAAGCGTGTTGTTAGTATCGCGTCGTCTACCGATTTCAAAATACAGTTGCTATATTCTGTGATAGTACTACTTCTAAAAGAACAATTTAATTATCACTTTCATTTATAAAAAGATATCACCAAAATGTAAGTATTTTTATAATATTTTATACCAGTTTAATTCTGCATACTTAACAAAATCTAACCTTAGCTTGTTATTTATTACAATTTTTATATATACGCGTTACTTAAGAATTATAATAATTTTCCTTTTAAATTATTATTAACGATTTTCGAAGTAAATAATTATTATTTGCAGGTCTTCTTTGACTAAACCAAAGTCTGAAATGACTCCTGAGGAATTAGCAAAAAGGGAAGAGGAAGAATTTAACACTGGACCACTTTCAGTATTGACTCAATCTGTGAAAAATAATACACAAGTTTTAATCAATTGCAGAAATAACAAAAAATTATTAGGTAGAGTAAAAGCATTTGATAGACATTGTAACATGGTTTTAGAAAATGTAAAAGAAATGTGGACTGAACTTCCACGTACTGGAAAAGGAAAGAAAAAGGTACAGATAATAATTGAGATTTTTAAATAATTTTTGTGATTAAAAATATGATGAAACTTCAATTTTTGTCTAGGCAAAACCAGTAAATAAAGACAGATTTATTTCAAAAATGTTTCTAAGAGGAGATTCTGTAATTCTAGTTTTACGAAATCCATTAGCCACAGCATCAGGAAAATAATGTTCTGAAAAAAAAATTATTTTATAACTTATAAGTAAGAAAAATGGACTGGAAATAAATTTTTTTAGTTTAAGCTACAAATGTGTACAATTTATTTGTATTAACAATTATGTTTTAAACGTAATAAAATACTTGTTTTTATACTTTAAGTATTAAAATGAAACAATGTGTTAAGCAAGATGTGTCGTTTATTCATAATGAGTTATACATAAAATTATTAATCCTTTTCAGTAATTATAGTAAGGTGTTTATCAATCTCCTGTTCTGTTAAAGTTCTGAAATAAATAAACGTTATGCAAATTTATTTAACAAAATCTTTTCCATGAATTGTAAATAATTAGAGTATAATGTATTTACCGAAACTTAGGATTATCCTTTGATACTACACCAACTTCTATTTCTGTTGGTTTGAAATCTACTGATAAAACAGTAGACAAACATGTAATTGCTAATTGTATTGTTTCATCATGATCATAGCTTTGTTTCTTTTTTAATTTTTTCTCAAGATAAGAATTAGCTTCAGTTTGTTTAGCACCAACAGAAATGGCTCTATAGCCACAGTAATATCCTGCAGGATCAGCTTTATAAATGGTAGGACCTTTTTCTTTATCATATGAAATGAGCATCATAGAGCATCCAAGAGGACGCATTTCTGCATTTTGTGTATATACTTGACTGATATCTGCAATACGTCTACATAATGCATCCATAGGAATTTCATAATCATATTTGTATTTAAAATGAGCAGCTTCATATCTTGCACGTTGCACTTGAGACCTGCTATCAGCTAAAATACAAAATAACATTTTTTTATTATAAGGAGAAAACAAATATCTTAAATACTTATTATAACACTAATAACTAGAACAATATATACTATAACTTTATGTTTTAATTTTTTTTCTTTTTATAAAACTTTTACTCACCTAACATGCCTGTCATAAGGCAACCAATATGTTCGGTGAGTTGAAAAATATGAGTAACACTGGAAGCATCGAGTAGCTTATCCTATAAATATATTTATTTAAATTTGAAAGGATTATACTACTTATAGAAATTTCCAATATTGTTTGGAAATATCATGTTACACATAATAGAAAAGATAAAATAACATTACAAAGAAAGCTACTAAAAATAATATATTGATAGAGGTTATCTTACAGGCACTTTCTTTTGTGTCGCGAAGGCGGCTGTTTCTACTCCTTTTACCGCAACAGATGTCAAACCACCTTGATTTATCGCTTTAAACGCATATTCTGTAAAATATTTATCAAATGTATTCAAAAACGTTCAAAATTGCAGATCACGCCATGTCATGATTCCCGCTTAGAAAATTAGTATATAGAGCTAGTATTATAGAAAAGACCAATAAAAATTTAAAAGCTAATTATATTTTAATATGAAATATTTTCACGAATCTTACCTACTTGGTAAAGCCGCCCTTCTGGCGAGAAAATTGTAATGTGTCTATCAAAACCAGCACTACTACCTCGCGCCATATTCGCAAATAATAATGTTAATGGTCGCGTTCAAAAGTTACAGGCAACTTTTCGAAACGTCAAATCATGCAAGATGTACATTAAGGTAGTTTACATTGAGCGATATATGTTTTTATCAAAACCACATATTTTATTTTTTTATACTATCAAAGATGAATTTAAAATCAATTTCGTATTAGTTTGCTTTTTTTTAAAATATTAATACAGTTGCTAATGATTTACTGTTGCACTTTAAGAACATTCCTTCTATAAATTTATTTTTTCGGTTATCGTTATGAAAATTATTACTCTATAATAAAATTAGATTTTAATTTAAAAGTAAAATGTAATTCTTGAATGTTATTAAGTGCTATTTTAAACTCTATTTAACGTTTTAAAAGTGTTATGCTTTATCATAAGTATTTCTACTTTTAAAAATACGTATAATTGGCCTTTTAGAGCAATTATCTAAAAAACATTTTAACACTTCGGTGTTAAAATATGTGGCAATATGAATAGAATTTTCTTTATTGGCTGAACATATATAGTAGTTCACACGTTTTGCTATAAATAATGTCTGTGATGTCTTCTAACATTCAATCTCTTTCCGATCGAGATCGAATTTGATTAATTTTGCACATATAATATGTAATACGCATTGCTATGTGCATACGTAGAATATTACATTTTGCAAGCAATGTAAACATTATCACAATATTGCTCTGCTAATTACAGATACGCGAGAGTATGTTGTCTATGAAAAAAATGATAAGTGCTATTTAAATTGCTGCTGATACCAAAAATTTTCCAGTACTCTATTAAACTATCTAAACGGCTTCTGTTTCACCGAAGTACAAATGTCTACATCAACAGGTAAAAATATTTTATATGATAATATGTTAATACCAATAAAACATTTTATAAACAAAACTGTCTGTAAAAGATAGACATAATTATTTTATTATTCGCTAAAAATATATTATCGATCGTGTAATGTTTTTTGAAAAAGTAAACTCTTCAAGAACATAAGCGTCGGTCATATGACTTGCAAATTTTTTTTTATATTTTTCATACTATAAATTTCATATTGGCATATTACAATCATAGTGTGTTTTTGCAGTTTAATGTAAATTTTATATGATCGAAATTAAAACAAAATTCGCGCGAACCTATTACACATTTTTTACAGTTGAAATTAAAATGAGATCCACGTGACTGTTAAAATTTATATCGTGATTTATAGCATTCCAAAATAATTATGTAATGTATGAAGCATGCAAACATATTAGTTTATATTGAAAATTAGCTGCATCATTATAGAATTTATAGAATTTTTGCTATTTTTTTGTATGTATAATTAGTTAATATTGTTTTACAGGTGATAAAGAAAGCCTAAAAAATGGCACAGAAGTATTAAAGGAAGAATTTGATCCTACTGGTTAGAATTTTCTTGTGAAGAAATTATTTCAAATTAAAGTTCTATGTTTCAACTATTAGATCAATATTTTATAGAACATCAACATATTCGATACAATCCCTTGAAGGGAGAATGGGTACTAGTGTCACCACACCGAATGAAACGACCATGGGGAGGACAAATCGAAATAAATACAGAGGAAGATCTTCCAGATTATGACCCTGATAATCCACTTTGTCCAGGCAATATTAGAGCTAGTGGACAGGTAATGTTCTTACATATTTATTCTTGAACATTACTATTTTTTTAAATAATAAAATTGCAATTATATAAATGTTTTAATATGTGTTAAATATTTTTATTTTTATCTAGATCACTCCAATATATGAAAATACATATTCATTTGTCAATGACTTTCCTGCATTATTGGAATCAGTTCCTAGTCCATCAAAACCAGAAGATGAATTATTTCAAATGGATGCTGCCAGAGGTTCTTGTAAAGTAATGTGTTTTCATCCAAAATCAAATGTAACAATAGCACTTATGAAAATTTCTGAAATTAAGGAAGTGGTTAAACGGTATTAGTAATTGGTAATACATGCACTCTATTATACTATAATTTTTTATGTAATAAATATTGTTATGATGCAGATGGATTTTTGAAATGTTGGAATTAGGAGAAAAATGGACTTGGGTACAAATATTTGAAAATCGTGGCGCTTTAATGGGGTGCAGTAATGCACACCCTCATTGTCAAATTTGGGCCAGCTCTTTCTTACCAAATGAAGCAAAAATAAAGGATAGCTTCCTCAGTGATTACTATAATCGCAATAAAAAGCCACTTCTTATAGATTATGTGCAAAAAGAGCTTCTTAAAAAGGTAGAACATTGCTTTAAAAAGAAATATTTGTATATTTAAGTTTAATTTCTAATTTTAATTTAATTTATTTTATAATCATAGGAGCGAATTGTATTGGAAAATCGAGATTGGGTAGTTTTAGTACCATTCTGGGCAATATGGCCATATGAAACTATGGTGTTACCTAAGAAACAAATATCCAGAATGCAAGATTTAACAGAAAGTCAGCAAGAATCATTAGCAGTTATTATGAAAAGATTATGTACAAAATATGATAATTTATTCCATTGTTCTTTTCCCTATTCTATGGGCTGGCATGGTATAACTGAACATAATTACTACAAATATTTACTATAGAAGTATGTTTCGAATTAATAATAATAATTTATTTTATTTAAAGGTGCGCCAACTGGTCCATATGCAAAACAAGATTATCCTTACTGGACTTTTCATGGAATTTACTTACCTCCTTTGTTGCGTTCAGCAACTATAAAGAAACATATGGTTGGCTATGAACTTCTTGCACAAGCACAAAGAGACTTAACTCCAGAACAAGCAGCCGAAAAATTAAGAAATTTGTCAGATTTTCATTATAAGCAGCCAGAAACAAGTTTAACCACTTGTGAAATAGAAAAATATTCTAAATGAATTAATTTCATTTATATATAACAATATATTTTTGTAGATAACATATACATTATTTATAAAAATGTAATACGAAACATTACTTAATTATATATATTAATTTTATGAATCAAAAATATACTAAACATAAAAAACAATTACGATTTTATGCAATTAGTATACAGGAAATGTATGATCGATTTTTTTACTCCAAGCGTGCATTCCGCCAATTATATCTTTTATCTCCAAATTGCTTTTGTTAAATGCTTTTTGAAGACTTTTTACAGCTTTTTGTGAATCATTTCCTCTTCTACACATAACGTACACTAGAATATGAATATATATTTTGATCATATTTACTATTATCTATAATTTCAAGTAAAATATACTTACAACTAGTTTCACTGTGTTGTTCTTGTATTTCTTTTATTTTATTTTTTATTAATGTTACTTGTTCATTGTTATTAATTTCACTTATTGGGATATTTATAGAATTCTGTAAATGGCAGATTTCAAATTCTTCGGGAGATCGCACATCAATCAATATATGACCTTTTGTACCCAATTTCAGTGATGTGTTATATTCTTCCACACTTATTCGTTCTTCTTTTCTTAATAAATTTAATTTTGGATCCTTATCGTTTGCTTTTGCACCACAAAATTGCTCGTAATCAATTAGCTTATGTATAGTTGGGTGTTCACCGCAAACGGCACAGTTTGCATTTTTGGCACGCAAACTGATATTGCGAAATTTCGTTTCTAGTCCGTCAAATAATAGAAGTTGACCGGATAATACATAAGGAACATTGAGTACAATTTTTAGAGCTTCTAATGCTTGTAGAACACCAATGGTACCAACAGCTGTAATTAAATTAAATCAAATAATAACAACTTTTAGGTAGAAAAATATACAATAAATGAAATGGAACAAATTGTAAATACCTGGACCAAAAACCCCACCATCTCCACAATTTGTTACTGTTTCTGGAGGGGGAGGTTTAGGAAATATACATCTGTAGCACGGACCATTGTAATTAAATACAGATAAATGACCTTCAAATCTTAATGCTGATCCAGATACTAGAGGTTTCTTACTTAGAACACATGCATCATTCAATAAATAACGTGTAGCTACATTATCAGTAGCATCTAACACAACATCATAACATTTTATTATTTCCAAAGTATTACTACTATTTAGTTGAATCTTATATGGTGTAATTTTAATATCACTGTTCAAGCTGAAATTTATGCAATATAGTTAATATATCTATTAAAATTTATCTACACTATATTAATTTATAAGTACCGATTAAGACTTTCTGCAGCAGCATTTACTTTTGATGTTCCAATGCTTGTTTCTGCATATAATAATTGTCTATGAAGATTATTAATTTCAACATCATCATAGTCAATTATACCAATATGTCCAACACCAGAAGATGCCAAGTATAATGCAGCAGGGCATCCAAGACCACCTGCTCCTACAATTAATACTGCACTATTTTTTAATTTTACTTGACCTGCAATTACATAATAAAGGATGTTATAATGGAAGATTAAAACATTTTAACATTAAAACTAAAGTGCATATAAGTAGGATACACCTTTAACGCCAATTTCTGGTAAAAAGATCTGTCTGCTATATCTTGAGATTTCTTCGTTACTTAAGCCATAATTTTGTAGAATTTGTTTTTCGCGCCTTAGAGCAGCAAGTTGAGCTTCCTTTACGCGTAACACTTCACGTAACTCAGTAATTTCATTAATCAATTTTTTCTCATTCATTTTTGTTGAATGAGTTGTTTGAAATTCGTTGTTATTTAGTTTTAAAAATTTGAGATGAAAAATGAGTTGAAAATGTTTAAAGAAAAAAATTGTTAGGTTATATTAACATCTTTCTAAAAGATGGGTGGTTGAAAGGTTGATATACGAAGCGACAAATATATATATATAATAGGCAACTCGTTAGATAAAATCTGAGCAGTAAAGTGACGACAAGTATTCTGTAATCTTTAGCGTTCTGTTGTTAATCTTAGGTATAATCACAGTGTTTTTGAATACCTTACAAACGGGACATTGAGATATGCGTTTACTACATCTAGTTTCAGAACTAAAACGCAAGTGACATTTCATTTTACGCATTGGTGGTACATAAAAATTGCCAATTAAATTATCTCGAAATTAACCTTTAATCTTTTCGACGTAGTAGATAAAACGAGGTTTTTATCTTTTTAGCAGTGAGAGAGAATGTTGTTAAAACATTTTGAAACATTTACATTTAACTATACTAATTTAGTAAATAAAAAATTTAATTTTAATTTTACAGTGTTCAACGAATTGTACGAGAATTTGTATTGAAGAAAATACAAACTAACCATTTATAAATTTAATTATGATTTAGATAATTCTGAATCAGTGTGTAAAATTGTGTACTTTGGATGGGTACTATGATCGCGTGGTTTCGTGAGTACACAAAAAAATTAAAGGACAAGAAAGTAGTGAAAGCAGAAATGGTTAATAAGAGCTAGTTTATCAAAAATTACAGTATGTTCGATTACAATGGTCTTTGCAAGATCTGCGTGTTTATTCGCACAGTGTAGTGCGCAATAAGCGTAGTACAGTCTTACACAAAGGTAGGAAGCTGATGATTAATGTCACGGTCAGCGAGGTTCTCACTTTTGACAAGTGTATATAGGAAAATCATGATTTTCTAAGTGACAACACGAACGTTTCTTGTGAAGAACTTTCATCGTAATAGACGTCAAGATGGTGGAACCAATTTTTGATTACCAGTTTCGTTTAATACTCATCGGTGACAGTACAGTCGGGAAAAGTTCGTTGCTGAAATATTTTACCGATGGGAAGTTCGCAGAGGTACGCAGCAACTCTAACCCGTATCGTCAACAATGCTGTATGAACATAGAGATTGATTTTAAAAGATTACGAAATTGTCGCGCTTCATTTCCTTATTATTCTTCACGATACAAATAAATCGAATCCTAATCCATGTTAAAAAACTTCCGTGAAATCTTTAAAGATTTCATACTGTTCTATAGCACAATTGGAGCATCTCCAATTTGCTGATCTAATAATATTTATGTGCCTGATTACTATTTTTCAAACGAAAAAATTAGAATGGTAGACTAATGCTATGATGTAATGTTTCGAGATGTTTGTTAGCTTTAACGAATTAGTTTTATTATTTAATTATAATCGTTGTATACATTATTAATAGAGTAGTAAAGAAATAGTTTTATATAATTTGAATGAAAGATCTGTGATATATTTTTAATTTTTATTATCTCCCAGTTATTGAATATTGTAAATTATATATCAGTAAACCAGAAATTGTAATTTTCTTTCATAATTTAAAGTACCCTATTTACATTTAATACTTGCAAAAAGTATATAATATATTTTACTTTATTTGTCTAGCTTTCAGACCCAACTGTTGGGGTAGATTTTTTTGCTAGATTAATTAAAGTAGAAGATGGAACAAGAATAAAATTACAATTATGGGATACAGCTGGCCAAGAAAGATTTAGGTGTGTTAGATTTTTGTTTTACATTTTCATTAACTATTATTGTATTATGAAGAAAGTATGGTGTTTTAACTAACATATGGAATAATAAAATGTGTTGTTTACCTTAGGTCAATAACAAAATCATACTATAGGAATTCGGTTGGAGCACTGCTTGTATATGATGTCTGTAACAGAGCCAGTTTTGAACATATTCCTCAATGGATGATGGATGCTCGCAGGCATATTGAACCACACTGCCCTGTCTTTGCATTGGTAGGTTGTAAATTAGACTTAGTTACCAATGGAGGTAGACGAGAAGTTTCCAAGGAAGAAGCAAGAGCCTTTGCTGATCAACATGGGGTGCATCACATTGAAACCAGTGCCAAAACTGGAGTTAATGTTGAAGAGGCATTTCGAACTGTTACACAGGAAGTTTATAATAGAATACAAACTGGTGAATACAAAGTAGAAGATGGTTGGGATGGAATAAAAACTGGATATTCTAGGCCTGGTGGCTTAGATTTTAATCTAGTTGAAGCAGAACCTGCAAAGAGTTCTTGTTGTTAAGTTAATATTTTATTTGATGGAACAGACAACAATATTTAGAATGCAGTGGTAATATTCAATTCAATCTACAATTCTCAATTTCTTTTTTACCTTAATTTACATACATAAAGTACATTAAAATTTTTATAATATTAATATTAGTTTATACAAAAAAGAAATGAAAGTTATATTTTTCTACAATAATTACATTCCACTGCATTCTTATTTTAGAAGAAAGATTTACAATGAATTTAAAATGTGTATAAGTCTTGATTAGAAATTTTTGTACATAGCTTGTATAAACAAATAAGTATATATCATTGACCTGAACTAGGATTGTTTTCTATCTCATTTAAGGAACAAAATACAAAAGTATAAATAAAATTTATGGTCATAAAATAAACTTATCTGTAGCGTCTTTTTGTGTTTTATTCTACGAATTAACTGTTCTGATGAATGAAAAAAATAACGGCTGTGCTTTTTTGTCTAAATCGTTTTTCAAATGCTGTAAAAAATACTATCATGAAATTCAAGCGAAGAGATGAGGGAACTTTTCCACTATAATACAGAATATTTACAATAGCTAAAGTTTAAATTAGAGAAAAATTTTCAAAATACAAATGCAACTGTTTAAAAATTATATGCTGTACATATAGAAACTGCTAATGAAACAGTTATACTAGTTAGGTTTATTTTTTATTTCTTGTACTCTGTTCATTATTTTTTGTTTTTAATGCCACAGTTTGTGATAATGTCATGTGTACATAAAGAGCCAAATTAATATATATCTGTATTACTGTTGTTTATATTTAATTAAAGCCAAACAGGATAATAACTTACTAATTGTAATACTTTAACTTATGAAACAGTAAGAAACAAACTATGATATGTGTTCTAATTTTTAAAAACATCACAGAATTATTATGTACATACTGTATTACATGATTTACATGATTATGCGAGAATATCTTGTTCAAAAATCTTGTTATAATATATTAGATAGTGCACTTTTAATTTACATAAGTTGATATGAATTAATAAACAACTACTTTGTTATATTTTTATCATAAGACATAAACATGTCAGTTTGAATGTAATACAAGAAAGTTTTATATAATCTAGTATAATATTTTTAATATAACTATTTTTTACTGGACAGTATGTTTTACACTTTTTCATATCTATTTCATAAAGAAAAGAAAACAGACTTGTCTGACTTTCAAAATATAAGTTAAGAATATAAAAATTTGCATATTTTTAAGAGAGAAACAAGTTAGTCAAAATACATACAATTAAATGTTATTTATACCTCTTGCATTTTTTCTTGCAAGTCTGATTAAGTAGAAAGGTATTTATTTCCATACAATGATACCTAATATAAACAATGAATAATAGTTTTCAGATTCTGAACTGCAGTATGATCTGCATTTGTATAAATAGTGAAGATGAGTGCAGTAAGGGTAGGCTTTATTTGTGAAGTTTTATACTCATTAACTGTGGCATAAATCGAAATGTAGTAGATATTTTTAAAAAATCTGAATCAATAGTATATGACTTGTCACTGTCACTGAATTTGTATAGCTCTATATATATATACACGTTTACCCTTTTGTCAATAGATAGTAATAGAATAATATGTGCAGTGTTGCAAAATACTGATGGACAAAATGATTTTTTGCATCTAGAAGAAATGTAAATTCGTTATCTGAATATTATCTACAGTTGTAATAAATTCCTTTATGTTTAAAAACATTTTTCCTGTAAATAGAGATTATCAATTTTACATT